AAGTGGATCCCCCAGTCCTTTGCCATTCTCAAAATATCCACATCGGTCAAAACAATACATGAAAAGCTTCCAGTGCCTCCTTTCTGAAGTTGGTGGAGGAACAATGACATTTATATTCAAATCTTTAGAGCCCACTGAAGACCAGCACATTTTTATACTTTTTTCAATATTAGTGGTTCATTAAGGTTCATGCCAGTGAGATGCACTGACACAATCTTAATAACATTGATGCCCTTTGGGAATGTATATGATGTACATCATATTTATGTCTTTAAGAGATTCACCTGTGGTGTTTCTCTTAAGGAGCCAGCCCACAAATCTGATTGAAGTGATTATGTATTCATTATTGTAGGGGAGCCTTGTAATATATCCTGACAATAAACTTTGCATACAGATGAACCTGTATGTGACTGAATGTGAACTTTTGCCAGAACTTTATGTGTTTGGTTACAAAGTATGTCTTTGCCTGTGACTGCTGGGAATAGTGCTATAATGGTAATGTCACTGGACTGGTAAATCCTGACGCCCATGCTAAATCCCACCACAGCAGCTAGGAAAAGTTAAATTTAATTAATGAACTGAAACTTAGTCTCAGTCATAATGATCATGACCATGAAACTATCAGCAATTGTTTGGAGGAAAAGATAAGTCTGCTTCAGGAAGGGAATCTGCCATCCTTGCTCAGTCTGGTCTATATGTGACTCCAGATCCCCAGCCATATGGTGACTACTGAATGCTCTCAAGGGGCAATTAAGAATGGACAACCAAAAACACCCACATCCCACAAAAATAAAATAACTCGTGTTGTTTGGTTCCAAAGCAAATGGGTGGTAAGAAACTGGCAGCCCTCTGAATCATTTGATTTTCAATGGCTTTCCCTTCCTTGTAAGGTCAGAAGTGGGACTGTTCACTGATTTACAAGAAAAGTCCAGGGGATGAAGGGCTTGTCAAATGAGGAACTGTTGAAGACTGTGGGTCTGTACTCGATGGATTTTTAGAAGGATAAAGGGGATTTCATTGAAACTTACAGAATACTGAGAGGCCTGGATAGAATGGATGTGGAGATGTTTCCGTTAGTAGGAGAGACTAGGACCCGAGGGCACAGCCTCAGAGTGAAGGGATGACCCTTTAGAACTGAGATGAGGAGGAATTTCTTCAGCCAGAGTGTGGAGACTCTGTCGAACTCATTGTCACAGAGGGCTGTGGAGGCCAAGTCATTGAGTGTATTTAGTACAAAGAACAAAAGAACAAAGAAAATTACAGCACAGGAACAGGCCCTTCGACCCACCAAGTCTGCACCGATCCAGATCTTCTATCTAAACCTGTCGCCTATTTTCCAAGGATCTGTATCCCTCTGCTCCCTGCCCATTCATGTATCTAGACGGATACATGAATGGGCAGGGAGC